CCGCTGCGGCGGCGGGCGCGGGCGCGGGCGCGGCGGCCGCCGCCGGCGCGGGCGCGGCGCTGCGGCGGCCGTGGCGGCGGCTCGCCGGCCCGGGCGGCGGCCGACTGCGCGGCGGCGAACAAGGAGACGCGGGCGGCGACGCGGCTCGCGGGGCGGGCTGGCGACGACGGCGGCCCGGATGCTGGCGGCGCGGCGGCCCGCGCGGCCACCGCGGCAGGCGCGCCCTGGGGCGCGCCTGCCGCCGTGGGGGCGACGGTTCTCCGGCTGCCGGCGGGGGTTGCCCAGGCAGCCGCCGCCGCCGCTGCGCTCGTTTGGGCCGAGGCGGGGTTGGCCAGACTCCCGCGCTCGGACCAGGCGGCCGGGCTGCGGGCGCGGGCGGAGGCGCGTGGCGCCTCGTCCCCAGGGCCCGCTGGGCGGTGCTCCTGCTCGAGGCGGTGACGGAGAAGCCGGCCGCGAAGGGCCCCGCGGCGCTGCGGGCGCTCCGTGACTGGGTCGCGCGCGGCCACTGAAGCGGTCCGCGCCAGGGCCGGGCGGCGACGGTGTGCCGGCCGCACGGCAGGCTATGGACCCCGCAAAGCCAGGGCGCGCTGGGGCGTGGTTTGGCCGCGCTTGCGCTACTGCTCTTGCTGGTGCTTACCCCCCTTCTCCGCCTCCCTCCCCTGCTGCTGCCCTCCTTCTCTCCTTAGCCACGGGGCGACCTCTCGCGCAGGTAAAAGAAAAGTGCGTACCCCGTCCTGGCCGCCGCTTCTACCGCTCTCCCGAGGTACGTTTAACCTTCGGCTTGGGCCGTCGTGCCTTACGTCCCGTTGCTGTGCGAATTGGTGCTGCCGTCTTCACGGGTAGATATGATAGAGCGCGCGCGTGGGGCCCGATAGACTAAAAGGGGGGCCCCAGCTTGAAGCTACCCCCCTCCCCCCTTCCTTGCTAAAGGGGGGGGGAGCTTCGGAAGCCCCCCCCACCTCCCCCCTTTTAGTGGTTCGGAAAGGGGGGGGGGGCTTCCAAGCTACACCCCCCCCTCCCTCCCTTTAATTGAGCCGGGGTGAGCCACCCCCCCTTTGAAAGGGGGGGGGGCTTCGGAAGCTACCCCCCCCCTCCCTTTTCGTGGCCGGAAAGGGGGGGGCTTCCAAGCTACCCCCCCTCCCTCCTTTTAATGGAGCTGGGGCTTTTAATGGAGCTGGGGTGAGCCACCCCCCCCCTTTGAAAGGGGGGGGGGCTTTGGAAACTCCCCCCCTCTCCCTCCCTTGGTGCAAAAGGGGGGGGGGGCTTGAAGCCCCCCCCCCCTTCCCCCCTTTGGCCGCCCAGCTCCCGGAGCCATCGCCCTCCCTTTCGCGTCCATTTATTCCCGCCCCTCTCCCTCCTCCTCTTCTTCCTTTTGCCTCCTCCTCTTCCTCGGTCTCCTCATCCTCCTCATAGTCATCATCGTCATCATCATCATCATCATCATTATCATCGTGCTCCCCCGCGGGTCCTTCCGTTCCGTTCCTCCTCCTCCACCTCCTCGGTTTTCTCCTCCTCCTTCATTTTTCCCTCCTCCTCCTCCTGCTCCTCCTCCTCCTCCTCCTCATCATCATCATCATCAATCAATCATCACATCAATCCTCTTCCACCTCCTACCTCCTCTTCCTCCTCCTCCTCCTCCTCCTCGCGATCCTCCTCCTCCGTTTTCCCCCTCCTCCCTCCTTCCTCCTCCTCCCTCCTCCTCCCTCCTCCTCCACCTCCTACCTCCTCCACCTCCCTCTCCTCCTCCTCCTCTCCTCCTCCTCCTCCTCCTCCCTCCTCCTCCTCCTCCTCCTCCTCCTCCTCCTCCTCCTCCTCCTCCACCCCTCCTCCCCCTCCGCCTCCCCCATCTCCATTCCGCCTCCTCCTTCCCCCAGCTGCCCCCAGCTGGCCGCCGTCTTACACGAACATTGCCAAACCCGACGGGCTGGCGTTTCCAGAATTACACTTCGTGCAACTTTCGGGGGGGGGGGGGTAGTATTTTTCCCAACCCTCCTTGGTTGGGTATTCGTTTTGAATAGAGCAGTGTGGTCTCCACTTCCTCCTTCCCGTCCCGTCTCCCTCTTGCCTCCTCCTGTCTTGCCTGCGGGGGGCTGCGATCTGTGAAACTGTCGCCACTTTCGAGGCCTGCTGGGGGGCCCAGCGGAGTGACGCCCTACGGGGATTCAGATTAGACCTCGCCATCCCTGGGGGGCTGCGATCTGTGAAACTGTCGCCACTTTCGAGGCTGCTGGGGGGCCCAGCGGAGTGACGCCCTACGGGGATTCAGATTAGACCTCGCCATCCCTGGGGGGCTGCGATCTGTGAAACTGTCGCCACTTTCGAGGCCTGCTGGGGGGCCCAGCACAGTGACGCCACGGGCAGATTCAAATTAGACCTCGCCATCCCAGGGGGGCTGCGATCTGTGAAACTGTCGCCACTTTCGAGGCCTGCTGGGGGGCCCAGCACAGTGACGCCACGGGCGGATCCAAATTAGACCTCGCCATCCCTGGGGGTCTGCGATCTGTGAAACTGTCGCCACTTTCGAGGCCTGCTGGGGGGCCCAGCACAGTGACGCCACGCGCGGACCCAAATTAGACCTCGCCATCCCTGGGGGGCTGCGACTGTGAAACTGTCGCCACTTTCGAGGCCTGCTGGGGGGCCCAGCACAGTGACGCCACGGGCGGACCCAAATTGGACCTCGCCATCCCTGGGGGGCTGCGATCTGTGAAACTGTCGCCACTCTCGAGGCCTGCTGGGGGGCCCAGCACAGTGACGCCACGCGCGGACCCAAATTAGACCTCGCCATCCCTGGGGGGCTGCGATCTATGAAACTGTCGCCACTTTCGAGGCCTGCTGGGGAGCCCAGCACAGTAACGCCACGCGCGGACCCAAATTAGACCTCGCCATCCCTGGGGGGCTGCGATCTGTGAAACTGTCGCCACTTTCGAGGCCTGCTGGGGGGCCCAGCACAGTGACGCCACGAGCGGACCCAAATTAGACCTCGCCATCCCTGGGGGGCTGCGATCTGTGAAACTGTCGCCACTTTCGAGGCCTGCTGGGGGTCCCAGCACAGTGACGCCACGCGCGGACCCAAATTAGACCTCGCCATCCCTGGGGGGCTGCGATCTGAGATCCCCGCTTTCGAAGTGGCCAGGGTTGCTCAGGGATTGCAACTAATCAGCTTATCTAGTCCTTGTCCTGAAGCCAGTTTCCTGCGAGTCTCCCAATTCCGTCTGCAGACATATCTAACCCTCGTTCCGTCATCGCCCCCTTATAAAGTGTCCTAAACTATTTGCGCCCCGCGTTTGCGCAGGGGTTGGGCACGTCGCCAGGGTAATTTTTCGTTCCCGGGCGTTGGCACGGAACGAGTTGAATGATACACTTGCGTTGCAATCGATTGCAATCCATTGGATTGCAAACGATTCGATTGCAATCCATTGGATTGCAATCGATTGGATTGCAATCGGTTGAATTGCAAACGATTCAATCGATTGGATTGCAGGGGAGGGACAGGACGGAAGGGAGGGAGGGGAGGAGAGGGAGGGGAGGGAGGAGATGGAACGAAGGGTGGGGAGGGAGGGGAGGGAGCGGAGGGAGGTGGGGAGGGGCATTGCAGTGGAATGGGGTGCAATCGATTGCGAGCAATTCGATTGGGATTTTTGATCGTCGATCGTTGATCGTCGATCGTCCATCCTCGATCGTGGATTGTTCATTTTGGATCGTCGGCGAAAGGGAGGGCGGAGGCTCCGGGGGCTGGGCGGCCAAAGGGTGGAAGGGGAGGAGGGGGGGGGAGCTTCCAGCAGGGCGGCTCCAAGGGAGGGGGGGGTAGCTTAAGCACCCCCCTCCCTTTGGAAAGGGGGGTAGGGGGGGGTAGCTTCCGAAGCGGCCAAAGGGGGGGAGGCGGGTATCTCCCAAGCCCACCCCCCCCCCCTTTGCACGAAAGGGTGGGAGGGGGGGGGTAGCCTACCAGCAGGGCACAAAGAGGAGGCAAAAGAAGAACACCGCAAGAAAAGAGAAAAAACGAAGGAAGAGAGAGCAGAAAAAGAGGCAGCCAAAGGGAGGGGGGGGTAGCTTAAGCTATCCCCCCCCCTTTGGGAAAGGGGGGGAGGGGTGGGGTGGGGGGGAGGGGGGGTAGCTTCCGGGGAGGGCCCAAGGGGTGGAGGGGGGGGGTAGCTGTAAGCCCCCCCCCCTTGCAAAAAAAGGGGGGGAGGGAGGGGGGTGCTTCCAACAAGGGCGGCTCAAGGGAGGGGGGGGTAGCTTAAGCCTAGCCCCCCCTCCCCTTTGCTCGGGCCCTGCGGGCGCGCTCTCTCGTAGATCTGTTCAGCACCTGCGCCGCCCCCCACTTCTCGAAAGCAAATTACATCAGAGGGTGCCTATGCTTGACTGGCTGTTTGAGCATGTGGCGGCCCGTTGACGCAACACGTGTGCGTGTCCGCTCTCCTTCTCCTCCTTGCCACCCCTCGCTCCATCCTCTGATTAAGTATGACTTCCGCTGCGCCGTGCTGCGCCGCCAGGGCTGGAGCCCAGCAGTGTTCAATGAAAGAAAGGAAGGTCCCAGGAGCCACCATCCTACGCAGGATCTAGAGCTGAAGCCAGTGTTCCCCATCCCTATCGAGATTCCTCTCGGGTGTTTAAAACTTCACCACTGTGGGGTGGGAGTCTCGCGCGCCTGGTGACCCCGCAGGGGTCGGCGTGTTTAGGATCTTCGTACGTATCCTCATTATTGGATGTTTGCCCAGACAGTTGATGTATGGGGTCCTAGAAGTGCGAGCGGTGCCCCGAATTGTTTCCGCATCGGCCTGGGATAGTTGCTGTTGGTAGGCAACGAAAAGGTACGATTAGAGGCGGAAGGGGTCTTGCACCCAGAGATAAAACAACAGGGAGGATGGTAAGGTTGCGCGGGGCCGTCGAGCTGATTCATGATTTGTTTTGAATGGGGCGAACCCAACAACCTACGTGGTAATGATGCGCGATGTGTTGCATACTCGTGCGGAGAATGTGCAGTCGAAGTATACGCGCAGGAGCTCTACGATCTAAAAAAGGAAGGGCGAACCAGAGAAGAGAAGCAAAAATATTTGAAGAAGGTATTTCTCGCCATACACCCCGACAAAGGAGGTGCCGGCGGGAGGCATAGGATATAGGGGATGCTATTCATATTTTCATGTTCGTCATGTCAGGATCGAGTGGCGACGAGGTCGGTTGCGCACAATCGAGCAGCCCATGTTTCTGGAATCGGCGCATTGTTGATGGCGGCAGATTGGCAAACGTAAGTATGATCATGAGGCAGAGGAGAAATCAGCGGAAGGAGGAGAAGGAGGAGAGAGGGGAGGAGAAGGAGGAGGAGGATAATGTGGAAAGGAAGATGAGGAGGAGGAGGAGGACGAGAAGGAAAGGGGCAGGAGGGGGGGGAGGATGTTGTCTTGTTCGCCCGCTCCCCTTGCTCGCTCCTCTGGCCGAGTGCCGTGCCCGGGCCCTCTGCTCGCAAATAGGTTTTGGAGTCGTGCCCGATCGGCCGTGCGTAAGCAAGGTGGGGGGAGGGGGAGGAGGAGGAGGAGGTGAAGGAGAGAGAGGAGGGGGAGGAGGAGTTGCAGAAAATGAGGAGGAGGAGGAGGAGGAGGACGAGGGAAAAGGAGACGAGATGGGGGATGATTTGAGGAGGCCATGGAGAATGAGGATGGAGGACACGGTAGTATGCTAATGTTGATGTTGGTGCCGATTATGATGATGATGGTGGTGTTGATGACGATTTGGATTATGCTGATGCTGGTGCCAATCCTGATGCGGAGTGATGGTACTGATAATGATGATGATTGTGATGACGACGACGGCGATTCTGACAATAATATGGGCGATGTTAAGTTGGGCACCGTGACGACGATCATCCATATGTATATATATAGGACGGTGACGGGGATGATGTTGATAATGGTGATGTTGGTGATAATGGTGATGGCGGCCATCGTACTGCTAATGGTGATGATGTGACAACGACGACGATGACGACGACGACGCTTAAAGAATGATGATGGCAAATATGATGGTGGTGGTTCATGGCCAACGATGGCGATGATGATGACAGTTGTGATGATGGTTGTGGTGGTGATGATGGTTATGGTGTTGTTGGGGAAAGGGGTGAGGAACATGGTTGATGTGATGATCAGGAAGAGGTGGAGGCGCATAGGGAGGAGAAGGGGGCGATTAGTTGAACACTTTGGACGGAGGGGTGGCCTCCAAAACCTAGCAGATTCCTCGTAGACGGCGCAATGACATTATGCCACTCCACCACGCGCCAGGGGACCTTGGCGTCGGACACTGCCTTTCACGATGGCCCAGGTGTGAGATTCTCCGTTTCTCCACACCGAGCCCTGGTCGCGCTCACCTTTGGGTGCTAGCGGGGGCGTTGTAAGGGGAAATCCCAGCCCCGCTATTTTTGTCCACTCCCACAGGACGGATTGCTGGCGTAGGATCCTCCCCGAAGACGGTGAGTGTCGGAAAGGAGAGAGAAGGACGAGGATGAAGGAGAAGCAGGAGGAGGAGGAGGAGGAAAAGGGTGAGTTGAACTCACAGACTTCTAAAGATCCATATGCAAGGTGCCCTGGAACCGGCTCCAGTGGATTCTCGAAACTTTCAAAGCGAGCCGATCGCCAGAAGAGAGTGCCAAGTGTCCCCAAGATTCCTCCTGTGGATCCGAAGACGTGTTGAGAGTGCCTCAGGACAGCTCCAGAGGGTCCCAAGATGACTTCACGAAGAAGTTTCCAACATTTCCAAATTTGTGCGTCCACTCCCATTCCGAAGAATGTCTGGCAACTTCGTGATCATATTGTGATGCACCCCATGCAAGACAAAATTATGACGCTTCCTCCAAGGTTCAGAAGAAGCTGTCAAGTGGTTCAACGACTGGAAGGCTTGTTGGCAAACATGGTTCATGTACTGACTACTGGGCGATCAGTCCATGCGTGCCGGTTCTCTGTTGACTCGGGTCGTCTTGCTTCGACTGCTACGTGGGCAGTACTTCAGTATATTCCTGCTCGGCTTACCGCCGCCATCTTCGCGCCTCTAGAGGGAGAATGTCCAGACTGTTTCTCTGCGATGTCCAGGGGTTCAGGTGGAAGATAAGGTGATAGTGTTTGGAGCCATGGGCGATTGCAGATGGGGCCAAGACATGAGCACGCCAGGGGCGAGGTGGAGGCTTGGTTGGTGGCAGTTGAGGTTTTCGGTGTTCTGGGGTTCTTCAGGGACTTCTGCCTCTGATTAGGCCCTAAGTTCTGGGTTGGTCGGAAGCCTTTCCGAGACTCTTGCCTGGCCCTGGGGTGTTGCGGGTGCGGTGGAGGCGGGTGGGTGGCGGTTAGGATGAGATGTGGTCGGGGCCCATGCGAGACCCTTGCCTGGCCTGTGGTGGCTCGTTGGTTGGGTGGTTTGGTTTGGTTTGGTTCCGCTAAGGCGTTCGCGAGTGCATGCCGTTGTACGTTGTGGATGCGAGGTGAGTGGCGCTCGGGTTGAGGTGGGGTCGTGATCCCTGACAGAAGCCTTGCATCGTCTGGGGATGCCAGGGCCATCATGGAGGCGATCTCACTATAGATCTCACTATAGATCTCGCTATCGATCTCTCAATATAGATCTCACTATCGATCTCACTATCGGTCTCATTATCGATCTCAATATCGATCTCACTATCGATCTCACTGTCGATCTCACCACGGGACACCACAGGACAACGACGGGACACCAGCGGGACACCAGCGGGACACCAGCGGGACACCGGCGGGACACCGCGCGCCACCCGTTGCTGGGCGGAGAACCTGTTGGTCCGGCCGCGGCCCAGCCACGACGGGACACCGGCGGGACACCAGCAGGACACCTGCGGGACACCGGCGGGACACCGCGCGCCACCGGTTGCCGGGCGGAGAACCTTTTGGTCCAGCCGCGGCCCAGCCACAGGAGAATGTTCTCTCCCCCGCCTGCGCAGCTTCGCCTCGCCCGCACGCACGGCACGAACACGAAACCGAAATCGATTTCCCGGTAGGGGGGCTCTCCGTTCCAGTTCGATCTCACCCCCCAACTTCCGATATAGCTTCATTGTGGCGTAGATTCGTTTGGTGCGGAGTAAGGTTGCACCGGGGATCGTACACTCGTACACTTAGCGTATATTGAGTATCATGTGGCGTGCTGGCATCAGGAACCAGATCAGCAGCTCAGAACGCAAGCGCCCAGGTCTTGATCTCAGAACTCGTGTGCCTTGGCTTCCGCCCCATTTTCTCACCTCACCCTGCGATATTTGGGAGGCCGGTGGTTCCCGTGTCAATTTCGTAGGTCGATAGTAAGGACCTTCCAGGCTACAAGCCAAACTTGAGACCATTAGGAAGCCTCGACCGCAAGCCTCGTCGGAGCATGAGTCGACGGTCTGCTATTTCGGATGACCGTGCAGTGTAAAGTTTGACCATCATCTGTTCACATTGCCGTGTGATGGGCCCCTTAGTGGGCGAGGACGTCATCGTACCGAGGCATGATCTGGGGCTTGATGACACGTGGCGTTTTTGACGGTGTTGATGAGGGCATGGAGGCGAGGAACCTCGAATGGCCAGGTGCCTGCTGTGCGAAAGCGTAGTACCTTTATTTTAAGTACTTCAGGTACAGGCGCGCCGGGTCCGATCCATAGTGGACCCAGGCGCCCTTAGGTCATCAGTGTGGATATCAACAAGCATTGAGCGGTTGGTCTCCGCCTCTGCTGGAGGGGCGTTGCGACGGAATGAATGGGTAAGGTGAGCAAGGGAGCGAGAGAGATAACAAAAAACGAAAGAGAGAGAGAGAGAGAGAGAACGAGGGGGAGAGAGAGGGATTAACTTCGGGTGAGAGGTCGAGAGAGATAACGAGACAGAGCAAGAGGAACAATAAGAGGAGAGCAACAGGCAGAGAGAGAGAAGGAGAGGTCGACTTGGGGGGCTGGGCGGCGGGAATGGGACGAGCAAGAATTCATTGAACGCCGTGTCTCGGCTCAGGATCGTACCTTTCCGCAGGCGAGGGGCGCCCTCTTTTTGACACAGTGCAGCCTCTCGACGGAGGAGCACAGGCCATCGTGCCAGAATCGGGCCCTGTCTCTTTTGGAAGGTTTCATGCCCGCCCTCCTCAATCCCAGCCTCGGCTGTTCGATGCCGTCCTCTTGTGGACGCGTCTCCACTTAGCCATCGCTGCATCGGCTCCGAAAAGTGCTCGCCTTTCCCGTCTGCCCTCCGTCCTGCCTGCGCTACATCATGCGCTATGCGTCATCGTTTGCCTGCGGATTCATGGCTGGATCGCATTCTCGCGGTGACGCAATCTGGCCACCGCCTCCGCTGCGCCTCTCTGCCTCCGCCGCGCGGCACGAGTCAGGTCACCATCTCTGCGTGCCAGCCCACGCGAGGGCGACGTCAGACTGGAGGGCCCAAGCCCCGTCGAAGGGGCGTTGGAGGCGTGCCTGAGCGGGGGTGAGCAGGAAGGCGCCCCGTGAGCAGGCGCAGGGACGGGCTGGCTCCTCCTCGTCTCGGGCGGGCCCGTCGTCATAGGTAGATGCCCGACAGCTTGAAGATGTGAAGGACGAGGAGGAGGGGGAGGGGGAGGAGGAGGAGGAGGAGGCGGAGGAGGAAGAGGAGGAACGAGGCAGGGTGAGCGAGAGGGGGAGAAGGAAGACGAGGAGGAGGAGGAAGAGGGAGAGGAAGTGAGAGGACAGAGACAGAGGAGAGACGGGGAAATGGAAGGGAAAATGGAGGAGGAGCAGGAGGAGGAGGATGAGGAGAACAGAAGGTTGTTACTTATGTGTGGTATTTCCTTTTCCCATCCCCGATCCTACGCTTCTAGTCCGGCCAGTCCTGGTCTGGCCTTGCCTGATCTGGTCTGGTCTGGTCCAATGCTTTTCACCAAAGCAGCTTGCTGAACGGGGTGCTGTTCTGGTATTAGTTGGTGCGGGCCGGGGGAAAGGGAAGCAGAGACATCCTCAAATTAGCCTGGCGAAGGGCCCAACCACATGCAGCTGTGAGCACCGTCGTTGTACGCACCGCATTCGGAGGAGCTCCCTAGAGGGCCACGAAACGTGTGATGCGTGTGTGTGTGACAGAATGAGCGTGGTGGGCGCATGCGAATGCAGCCACTGGAGCGGTCGGTGGAGCTCCATTTGGGTTTGCGAAACGCGTGAATGGCTGCGGTGGGCGCATGCGAACGCAGCCGCTGGGGCCGTTGCTGGAGCCTCCTGTGGGACCACCAAGCGCGTGAGGTGTGTGCGTGTGTGTGTGCCAAAGTGGGGGAGGTGGGCGCATACGAACGCAACCGCTGGGGCCGCCGGTGCAGCTCTCTTTGGGCCACGAAGCGCATGAGGGGCGTGCCAAAATGGACGCAGTGGGCGCATGCAAACGCTGGCATGTAAGCCGTCGAAGTAGCTCCCTATGGGGCCACGAAGCGTATGAGGGGTGTGCCAGCATGGGTGCAGTGGGCGCATGCGAACGCCAGCATTTGGGCTGTCGGTGGGGGTCTCTACCGGGCCACGAAGCGTGTGAGGGGTGTGCCAAGATCGGCGCGGTGAGCGCATGCGAACGCAGCCAATGGTGCCGTCGGTGGGGCTCCCCATGGGGCCACAAAGCGTGTGAGGGGTGTGCCAAAATGGGCGCGGCGGGCGCATGCGAACGCAGCCACTGGGGCTGTCGATGGAGCTCCTGATGGGGTCACGGAACGTGTGAGGGGTGAGCCAAAATTGTTGCGGTGGGCGCATGCAAACGCTGGCATTGGGGCCGTCGGTGGAACTCTCCATGGGGACACGAGGGGTGTGAGGGGTGTGCCAAAGTGGGTGCGGTGGGCGCATGCGAATGCAGCCATTGGCGCCGTCGGTGGAGCTGGGCCACGAAGCGCCTGGTGTGTGTGTGTGTGTTTGTGTGTGTGTTTGTGTGTGTGTGCGTGCGTGCGTGCGTGCGTGCGTGTGTGTGTGTGTGTGTGTGTGTCTGTGTGTGTGTATGTGTGCGTTCGTGCGTGCGTGCGTGCGTGCGTGTGCGCGTGCGCGTGCGCGTGCGCGTGCGCGTGCGCGTGCGCGTGCGCGTGCGCGTGCGCGTGCGCGTGCGCGTGCGCAGTTGCGCGTTGCGCGTGCGCTGAGGTGGGGGTGCGCGTGCGCGTGCGCGTGCGCGGTGCGCTGAGCGTGCGCGGTTGCGCGTGCGCGTTGTGCGTGTGCGTGTGCGTGTGCGTGTGCGTGTGCGTTCGTGCGTGTGCGTGTGCGTGTGTGTGTGCGTGTGGCTGTTGTGCGTGTGCTGTGTGCGTTGTGCGTGTGCGGCGTGCGTGTGCGTGTGCGTGTGCGTAGTGCGTGTGCGTGTTGCGTGTGCGTGTGCGGTGTGTCTGTGGTGCCGTGTGAAGGCGCCGATGGTTGACTCCTCTCTTTCCGTTGTGCGTGTGCGTGTGCGTTTGCGTGTGCGTGCGCGTGCGCGCGTGCGTGTGCGTGTGCGTGGGCGTGGGCGTGTGCGTGTGCGCGTGCGCGTGCGTGTGCGTGTGCGTGTGCGTGTGCGTGTGCGTGTGCGTGTGCGTGTGCGTGTGCGTGTGCGTGCGCGTGCGCGTGTGTGTGTGTGTGTGTGTGTGTGTGTGTGTGTGTGTGTGTGTGTGTGTGTGTGTGTGTGTGTGTGTGTGTGTGTGTGTGTGTGTGTGCGTGCCACATTGGGCGTGTTAGGCGCATGCGAACGCTTGCATGTGGGCCTTCTGTGGAGCTCCCCATAAGGCCACGAAACGTGTGAGGGTGTGTGCCAAAATGGGTGGGGTGGCCGCATGCAAACGCTGGCATTGGGGCCGTCGTTGGAACCCCCTACGGGGCCACGAAGCGTGTGAGGGGTGTGCCAAAACGAGTGCGGTGGGCGCTTGCGAACGCAGGCATTTGTGCTTTCGGTGGAGCCCCCGATCGGACCACGAAACGTGTGGGGGTGTGCCAAAGTGAGG